AGCTCAGTTAGGACAGTCATGGCTGGCCGTTCCACAGCGTAGATGCCATCTAGACAGAGAAGGCTGTGGGAGAGAACGGACACTTTGAATCCCAGAGATTTTACTCACCGTCCCCCACCCGTGCTGTGTGCAGCCTCCGCCCCAGACCTGCCTGGTATTTTTAGCTCACAGGCACCCTGCACAGCCCTGTACACTGACCAAATTTAGAAATCTCAAGAGTCAGGCGCGATGAATGAACAGGCTCCCGTGAGTGAGCTAGGGCTGGCAGGACTCTGCTGATGGTGGGGAAGCCTGGGGATCATGAGTGACTCAGGACACCACACCCCTGTGGTCCAGTCAGCCCTGGGGCCAGCAAAGCTAACCCCACGTGCACGGACACCAGAGCCTGGCAGGGGTAGAGATGTAGGAGGTGACTTGACAGGGCATGGGGGGAGGGGAGGCTGCAGGACAGTGTGGGGAGGATGGCGGGACATAGGGATGTTCAACCCACACGCTGTATTTTGTGTTGGCTTATCAAAGTTAGTGTGTATTTCATCTTAAATTGGAAAACTTGAGACCAAAAAGGTTTAAATATCCCGTGACCCCTGCTTTAAGACAAATTATTCTGTCTAGGAGATGCCTTCAACCTCCCCGGGGTCGAGAGTCACAGGCAGGCCGGTTACTTTTATTCCCAGATGACACAGCTCTCAGGGAACTGGCTATGCACCAGACGTGAGGTTCAAGGTTCAAGGAGCCCCCAGTGAAGGCCTGGGCTCCCCTCATTGTTTACTGCCTGGGTGGTGATTATTATTATTTAGAGCTGGGGATGGAACCGGCCATAGCATGTGTTAGGCTAAGCAGGCATGCTCTCTGCCACTGAGCTATCCACATCCCAGCCCTGTTTTACCACTTTTCATTGTTCAGAGCTTGGAATATAATTATAGTCATCATCTGAAAAGTCTTTTAATCACTCTTGGATTGCACGCTTACAGCCATTAACAAGAAATGACATCCGTGGCAGGCCACCCTCTGAGAGCTCACTCAGCTGCCCCTTACAGTACTATTTTTTTTAAAGCTTTGGGTTTTTTTTTTAGATTTATTTTTATTTTATGTGTGTTTTTATTTTATGTTTTGCCTGTTTGTACGTCTTTGCACCACGTGTGTGCCTAGTGCCCGTGGAGGTCAGAAGAGGGAATCAGATGACCTGGAACTGGAGTTCCAGACAGTTGTGAGCTGTCATGTGGGTGCTGGGCTTTGAATCTGGGTCCTCTGGCAAAGCAACCAGTGTTCATAACCATGGAGCCGTCCACGATAGTTACTCACTAGAGCTCTTTCTATGATGTCTCTTGGCCAGTGTCTGTCCACAGTAAACTTCTGTGGCACTTTCTGTAGTGGGCACCACAATGGACCTCCTGCTCTGTCCTCTGCCCTGGGCGGAAGCAGAGGCAAGCACTTTTTGTTGTTTGTTTGTTTGTTTTGAGACAAGGTCACTCAGTGTAGCCTTGGCTGTCCTGGAACTCACTCTGTAGCCCAGGCTGACCTTGAATTCATAGAGATCTGCCTGCCCCCCCCCTTCGTGGAACTACTGAGCCAGGTGACAAGGACACCTTTTGAAATATTAGGTTGCAAGGGTTTCAAAGAGGATTGGAGGGGACCAGGTTTCTAGTGACAACCACACCGCAGAAGTGATGGGGCAGCTTCTACAAGCGCCTCACACCAGGCACTCAGCTGCAAGTCAACTCCCAAGAAAGGCTGGGGAGAGGGAGTGAGAGCCAAGATGTGTACCACACTCCGAGACGTTCGTCAGTATGTTTAAGTAGCAGTAACCGTGGCCTTCAGGGACAACTCAGGACTACTCTGATGGGGGCTGCCCCTGAGGACTGTCAAGGGCATCAGAATAGCTGAATGTTTACCCTGGAGCCAAGATCTAGGAATGAAGTCATTCTTGCCACTTTCTAAAAGTGAGCCATGGATGCCCACAGCTCTGCCTGCCACTGATGGGTCCTGCACAGAGTTTGCTGCCATGTGAGCATGCTTCCTCTAGATCTCAGTTTTTTTTTCTTTTTCTTTTCCCCAGGGTTCTTTATTGGGGACAGCCACCATCGACCCAAGTTGTAATTTGGTACTGTCTTCTGGCAAAACAGGCATTAAGTGGGCCAGAGGTGTTCCAGTCATGTCTGCTATATCTCCAAATCTCCAAATTGTCTTAAGTGAAGCACTCCTTCCCAGGCAGCTCCTCACCCTAGCACACTCACCAGCAGGTTCTCCACATGTCCCAACTCAGCAGCCAAATCTTCCTTTCTCTTGCTCTCTCTTGGGGTGCCACGCAAAGTAATCTGCCAAGGCTTAGTACTGTGTGTGCTTATTGGAAAGCCTTGAATCCTGTAGCGATGTTTGAGAAGGAGACGTCTGCCCTCTGGTGGGCACTGCGGGCACTCACTGCTGCTACCTTAGAGCCCAAAGGACTGAAATCCCCCTCCGCATTCCAGGAGGCACCTGTGTGGCTGTGTGATCTCCAGATGTGTGGTGGGGTTCAACGTGGAGCAGAGTCAACGCCAGACACCTAAGTCGAACTTTACTACCTGATTTAAAAGTCTGTTTATAATGAGGTTTTGACAACTCTTTGGAGACCTTTGGAGGCTATTATATTTTATTTTATTTGAGTCAGGGTCTCATGTAGTCCAAGTTGGCCTCAAGCTCACTACGTGGCTGCGAATGACCGTGAACTCCAGAGCCTCTTGTCTCCGCAACGTTGGGATTACACGCCCAAACCACTGCACCCAGTTTAGTCTGTGCTGGGGATCAAACTCGGGGCTTCATGCTAGGTAACCACTCCGACCAACTAAGTGACAGCCTCAGCCCCATAGGCTAGCATCTTAAGAACACGTTCTTTGTCTTGTATGTTCTTTCTTGTTTGTTTTTGTTTCTTGAGACAAGGTTTCTCTGTCAGCCCTGGCTATCCTGGAACTCGCTCTGTAGACCAGGCTGGCCTCAAACTCACAGAGATCCGTCTGCCTCTGCCTCCCGAGAGTTCTGGGATTAGTCCTGTACGTACATTCTTTAAAAAGCTTTATTTTTACTTTATGTGAGAGTTTTGCCTGTCTGTATGTCTGTGCACCATGTGTGTGCAACGTCCCAGGAGGCAAGAAGAGGGTGGGGGTTTCCTGGAACCGGAGTTACTAACAGTTGTGAGTTGCCGTGCGGGTGCTGGGAACCGAGCCTGAGCTCTCTTGCATGAGCAGCTGGTGCTCTGACCATTGAGCAATCCCTCCAGCATTATCTGTTCTTCCACTAAAATCTTTAAATGGCTGTGCTGTGCATAGAAGAGTTCCCGTTGTGGGTTCTCCTTTAAAGTGACAATTACTTGGATGTATGGACACACACTCATGCGTGTCACGGATGCACACGGTGCTCACAGCACACCTTGCAGGACAGCTTTGGGTCTCTTCTGGGGATTGAATTTGAGTTGTGAGGCTCGGCAGCAGGCACCTTTATCTGCTGCACCATCTCGCTGGTCGCTGGTTGAAATGACCGTGACGGCTGTTTTAAATGTACAGTTCTGGGGTGTTAGGACAAGTCACACTTTTGAGTCACCGCCCATTCTAAAACTCTTCATAGTGAAAAACTGTTGAGTGATGTTGAAACATCCGCATTAAACACCATCTTGCTCTGTTCCCTGGCTCGGCTGACCACAGCTCTCCTGTCCTTCTCCAGGATGCTGACTCCCCTGGGGAACTCCCACCACACCGCTCGGCAGAGCTCAGTGTTTACCTAGGATGGAGCACACTTCCTTTTTAGGACTGCATAGTGATCCATTGCACGAACGGACCTCACTGTTTTTCTCCTCACCTCCTGATGGAGTTTGGCTTCCATCTTTGGCTGTTGGGATACTGTCTGAATGTGTGTGTACAAATCTGTCTCGGGAAGCCCAGCTCTAGTTCATCTGGGTAGGAGCCCAGCTGCTGAACCGCCTGGGAATTTCACTTTAGATGTTCCGGGGAACTGCTCATTGTCTTCCCAAGACAAAGCCTGGTCCATCTCCAGCCACAGAGCACAGGACGCCAGGTCCTCTAAATCCTCACTGCAGATGACACCTTCTGCGTGTGTATGAGCGTGGAGGTCAGAGGTCCACACTGAGCGCCTTTCTCTATCTCGCTTCACTTCATGTTATCAAGAGAGGTCTTTGACTGAACCCGAAAGCCACTAATTCAGTATGTGGGAGCCAACTGCCTCTGACTCGCAACACTGCAGTTACAGATGTGTGCTGCTGCACCCCGCAGCACTGCAGTTACAGATGTGTGCTGCTGCACCCCGCAGCACTGCAGTTACAGATGTGCCATGCCTTGTCTTTTACTCAGGTCCTGGGGAGCCAAAGTCTCCATGTTTGCTCAGCAGACATTTTATGTACTGAACCATCCCTCCTGCCCCTGTCACTCAAGAAGACATTAAAGTTTTCCGAAAACATTATATGTGTGTCTGTGTGCGTGTGTGTTACACTACCATGTGGAAGTTAAGGGACAACATATCAGATGTTGGTATTCTTCTACAATGTGGGTCCTGGGGATTGAACTCAGTTATCAGGCTTGGTGGCAAGTGCCTTTACCCACTGAGCCATCTCTCTGGCCCAACAAGACATTAAAAACAAAACCAAGATGAGCGGTGGTGGCACCCTCAGAAGAGGGCATCAAGCTCCTGAGAGCTGGAGTTACAGGTGACTGGGAACCTAATTCAGGTCCTCTGCAAGACTTGCAAGACTGCTGAGTCGTCTCTCCAGCCCCCAAGAACATTTTAAAGACCACTATTAGCCAGGCTTTCTGGAGGTATAATCCCAGTTACTCCAGAGACTTAGGACTGAGAATTCAAGATAGCCTGGGCTACACAGAGTGAGGTCAAGGACAACCTGGACAACTTTCTCAAAATAGAAAGTATAAAGATGGCTGTGGTGTACATAGGGGTACAGCCTTGCCTGGTATGCCTGAGGCCCTGGGTTTAATCTCTACTACAAAGAAAGTTTGTTTAAAAAATCATTTCATTTTATTGAATTGTGCAAAAATCTTTTACAACAGTCAAAAATAACAATAACAGCATACAGCTGACCACAGAGTTTAAATCCTGTTGCATGTCACATATGAGCGGAATTCATCTGAGGCACAAAATGCTCCCGTGACCACACCACAAGGACTTCCTTCACACGTGGCATGTTTTGAACAGATCAACATTTTAAGAATTTGAACTTGGAGTTTGTGGGTGATCCGGAGACATGGCAGTGTAGGACTCCAGAGCAGGCGGATGCTAGGCAAAGCTCCTGCAGACAGATCCTAGCTAATCTCAGAGACCCCAGACACTGAGTGCCAGAATGAGGGCTGGAAAAAGACATTCTCCCGAACTAGTGAGAATTACAAGAAGTTCGAATTCTTCACAAATACACATTTCATTATCAAATTTTCAGATTTCTTCTCACAGCCAATCATTTTAAAAATGTAAATAAAATACTTCTAACAAAACAAAAGGGGGCAGAAACCAAAGTGCTAAGAAATTACATAGATATATGTTTTTTGAGAGAGACTCTCATGTAGCTCAGGCTAGCCTAGAATTTGATATGTAGCTGAGGGTGACCCCATCCTGTGGCTTCTACCTTCTAAGTGCTGGGAAGAGTGTGTCACACCTGGCTAAGAATAAAAATAATTCTAGTAACAATGCCAGGGCAATTTCATATCTAGCAAAGATTGTAATTAAAGGAAAATACAGACCAGGCCTGGTGGCAAAGGCCAATCGTTCGGCTACTTGGGATCCTGACATAAGAGGATGGTTGTTTCAGAGTGTGGCTGGGCTGCCGAATGAGTTCAAGTTGCCAGGGCAACTTAATGTTAAAAAAAAATGGACTGGAGGCTTGGGGTGTAGCCTAGCTTACACCAGGCCCTGGGTTCAGTCTACAGGTCTACAAAAGTAGGGGGGCAAAAAATCTAAAGGCGAGACTTGCTCTATGGCAAAGTAAAATCTATTGTATATATCATTTTTTTTTCTAGTCAATTGGGATACTTATTGCTTTCTACCACTCCATCTTTTTATAGCATTAAGATCTTTGGGTTGAGTTTAGAATTCATTAAAAGCATTTTGGTAGCTTTAAACATCGTGAAAAATTCATTGGTATAAAAAGGGCGTATGATTCATCCTTGGGTTTAAAACATCATAGTATCAGAACTACCAAGGGTGGGTACAACAACTCAAAAGTTTTTCTGTTCTAACCACCAAGGCGCTAGCTGGGCTGAGCATCTGTGGAAATAAATATTTCCTAAAACCTGTCCCTGGCTCATGGTGGGCCACCCTGCCAGTGCCCAGAGGGTGAACCCATGGGGCTGAGGTGTGCCCTTCACTCCAAGCTCTGACTCCAGTCTTCAGGAAAAAGTCGTGGATTTTTTTTTCAAACATTTCTACATACTACATCAAACTCTGAGAACACGGCTATCACCATGGTGATCCTATTTCTAACTGGTTTCTTCCCTAGAGGCCACAACATGGAGCAGCCTGTCACTTATCCATCATGTTTAAGATCATCTCGCAGGTCAGGCCTTCATCCTGGCTCTCGCTCTTTCCTGCACGATCGTCACTGTGGTGGCCGAGAGCCAGCTCTCCAGGGCACTGCACCTCCTTCACGGTGTTGCTCTCCTGGTCAGCAGTATCTAGGAGAAACCACACAGAGTGAGAAAATGTGAGAGAAAGCTGAGACATCCAGGTCAGGAAACCAGAAAGTATGTTTTGAAATAGTTGCTGAAACAGCCTGATTCTGGAATACTGGCGGTCAGTCTCCTGCCTCGAGTCAGGGCTGCTCAACTTGAGCAAAGGGGATAGGGACTCCTTTATGGGGGCACTGTGAGCACTATAGCAGGCAAGCAGATTCTTGCCCATGAGATGTCCGTGGCAATCAAAAATGTCACTAGACGCCAGGTGGTGGTGGCGCACGCCTTTAATCCCAGCACTCGGGAGGTAGAGGCAGGTGGATATTTGTGAATTTGAGGCCAGCCTGGTCTACAAGAGCTAGTTCCAGGATAGGCTTCAAAGCTACAGAGAAACCCTGTCTCAAAAAAAAAAAAGTCACTAGGCATAGCTCATCAGGTAAGTGCTTGATTTTGGGGTTGAGTGTGGGTGACCTTGCAGAGGTGTGGCTTACTGGAATGCAGTCGCCACTCTGATATAGTCACCAAGCCCCTCAGAGACCGGGCTACAACAGCCGCCACCCTCACTGACCTTCTAGCTGGGGTTAACAATGGGAAAACCACTGCCAGATTAAAACAACGTGATCAGAAAGGACGTACCGTTGTCCGATCCTGGGCCTTCCTCCATGGTCTGCTTCTTCTGCACTGCTCCTCCTTTTATGGAGGTAGCCAACTTCTCGTGCTCGGGGTCACACTTCTTCCTATGTCTCTGCAGGTTACTCTGTGGGAGACGATACAGGCCACTAGTGAACATCAGTGTCCCCACGTGTAGCTTGCAGCCATGGTTAAGAGATGGGCTTCCACGGAGTCTGACTTGCTTCTACAGGTAGAGGGACTTGTCACTGCTGGCCTGAGTTGAAACCTGTGGACCCACATGTTGGATGGAGAACTGGCTTCCGTGAGTTGTGCTCTGAGTTCTGTATGTATGCTATGGCACACGCTACACTCTCTGATACACTGCAAAGCACATCAGCAATTACATACATCTTCTAAAAAGTGGGCTTCAGGAAGACAGTAGATAATATGCATCTTTAAGAATTGGGGCCAAAACCAAAAAACAAACCCAAACCAAAATGACCTTAAAAATGTGTGTTTGTGTGTCTCTCTCTCTGTGTGTTTGCATGTCTGTGTGTCTCTTGTTTGTATATGTTATGTGTGTGTACGTAAATGGAGAGACTGTGCTGTTTCCCAGCCATGCAGACCTGAGTAATCACACAGAAACTATATTAATTATAGCACTGTTTGGCTGATGGCTCAGATGTATTCCTAGCTTGCTCTTACATCTCAAATTAACTCATTTCTATTAATCTGTGCATCACCACAAGGCTGTGGCTTACCAGTAAGGTTCTGCCATCTTTTTCCTTCAGCACCTACATGGCGTCTGCTTGACTCTGCCTTCTTTCTCCCTGCATTCAGTTTAGTTTTCCCACCTACCTATTATATCCTACCCTGTCATAGACCAAAACAGCTTCTTTATTAACCAATGGCAATAAGACGTATTCATAGCATACAGAGGAGAATCCCACATCATGAGTATGCTATGTGTGTGTATGTGTATGTGTGCATGTGTGTATGTATGTGTGTGAGGGGGTAGGTGAAGGTATCTCTGGAGGTCAGAAGGGGGCGTCAGATCTCCTGGAGCTGGAGTTGCTGTTGGCTGTGAGTCACCTGATGTGGGTCTTGGGAACCCAAGTCGGGTCCTCTACAAGAGTAATACATGCACTTCACTGTTGAGGTATCTCTCCAGGTCCCCCAAATGACCTTTTAAAGGGACCCTCCCTCTTACAATTAGGTCTAGTGCAAACCTAACTTGTTTTTATTTTTAAAATAAATTGATCTTTACATGATGCTTTTACCCTGTAAAATGAGACCTACCACTAAGCCAGAAATGCAATGTACCATCCATTGCTATGCCCGCCGTCCTGCAGAGGCCTGCCACCCGGTTGCTTTCCTGAGCTCAGGACACAGTTTGCGGCACCTCAGAGCTCAGAGACACAGGCTGGGCATGGTGTCTGTAATCTCAGCTGAGGAAAGAAGCTGAACAAAGCCATAACTAAGGCAATCAGGTATAAAGAACCCATCTTGGCTGGGTGTGCTTGCTAGCCCAGGCTGAGTTCTGGTGCACTTTTTTTTTTTATTATTATTATAAGAAGAATTGCCTTGCGAGGTTACCTTCAGTTTGTGTGTTGCTTTGTGTGACATAGAAAACAATTTGGGGCTCATCATGGACTTTAAATCTCCCTAGCAAAGTACTCCTTGGTGGGTGGGTCACCCTGGAGGTACAGTAAGAGAGTGGATGAGACACATAGCTAACTTAAAGAGAATGTGAAGTCTGGATCCACACGTCACACGTGTCCTTGGTGACTTTGGTTGCTAAGAAGACCTAGCATAGGGGACTACCCTATGGGGGAACCAGCTGAAGATGGATGAAGATGTTAAAAGCAGAACACAGGAAGCCTTCATTACCAGAGGCTGAGATTCAAGAAATCTCTCTACATGTGGGACTGAAGCTGGCAGATGAACTCTCACGAGTCCAGGATAGGAAATAACTAGGCTAAATAAGGCTCAAGGGGAGCAGAGACCCCAGACAGTGGGTAACCAGTTCCTCTGGTAGGCCCAGAGACCCCCAGACAGTGGGTAACCAGTTCCTCTGGTAGGCCCAGAGACCCCCAGACAGTGGGTAGCCAGTTCCTGCGGTA